ATCTGAGAGTGAAACCTTAAAAGCTCGCGAGATCAGGATGGTCTCACGAGGCTAACTATTAGGTGCTGTTAGGAAGACCTCCTTACCTCACTGTATTGGCGCACTAGGTCCCATAACAAACAAAAATGTATTTTTCTATGCATTGCCAACTCACAGCATCTATTTCATTGAGAGCTTTCCACTGTTCGTACTGGCATCTTAGAGCCTCTGCAGTCTGGACAGTCCTCTTCATGTGGCTTGTCCACACCTTCAGGTCCTTAATATTCTGACCTTTGATGAAGGTAGCTAAAGCATCAGCATACTGTAAAAAAACAACAACAACCTGCTGTTATTTCAATTTCTTCTATATTTACCTTATTTGATTTTTTTCCATAGACTTTCTGTTGAAAAAGTACAATTTCATAACTTCTAAACATTTAAAGTGAGCATTTACAAAAGGTTAGCATAAGCCAACATTTCAGTTTAGCAATAGTAAAATATTAGTTTTAGCGAAAATGTTATATTAGCATCAACCAAAGGTTAGCATTAGCAAACATTTAGGCAATAATCAAAGGCATAGACATAATATAAGAGTAGTAACCTTATTGATTGCTTTCGCCTATGGGAACTGATGTGATTTGGTGGCGCCATCTTGGGGCGTTTGACAGCTCTGCTCAGTGACGTGTTGAGCAGGCACAAAATCAATTTTATTCACTAATTTGCCGAATATTCAACTAATTTTAACGGGCATGTTTTGTTTTTGCTGAAAACAAATGGTTCAGTGTAATTAAAGTGTATTCTTAGTGGGGTTAAGAGTAATAGAATATTCTGATAGGATGTATGCATGTTGGAAAGCACAACAACTCATGCATTTTTATGTTTTTTATTACTATATACACAAATATATACACACACCCACACACATACTCGTTCTGCGTAGTGGACCTTGTGTTGACTTCCATTGATTTTCAGTCATTTTCAACCCTTTCTATGCCCTAACCTTAAAACTGACCCTAAACCTAACCATTACCAATGCATACTTCACCCTAACCCTCATCCTACACCTAACCAAGTGACACCTTAGCCCCAAACCTAACAATTAGCAAAATAGCATGTCAGAAACAGCATAATGTCCTCACTTTGCAACAACTGGTCCTCAATCTGATGGTGAAATTGGAAAAAAGGTCCCCACTCTGAGGGCTAAACAGAGAGGTACACACACACACATATATATATATATATATATATATATATATATATATATACCCACAATTAAGCGATTGAGTTCATTCTCTCCCGCCATCATCACAACCCCCACCCCCTTACAGGGGAACCGAAGACCTCACCTATTCAGCCACACCAGCAATTCCTTTTAACACCCCCTTTCAGAAACATAGACAGGTATGGGGCAATGCAGGCTAACAAAGGAAGGCAAAGGACACCCATTCCAATGGGGCGGACCAGTTCGTCCGTTTCAATTTGCATGTTTTCTAAGCCAAAACAAGGCTTTGTTGGGTTCCTCTATAAAGCCTCGAACTCAACGATTTTTATTACATTTTGAATTGAAAAAGCTTCCTGGATGGGAAGTGAAACGTCTTCAAACTTGGAAACAAAGTCCATTGGATTGATTTTTAACTTTTTTGGGGAATAAATAAATATTTATGTATTATTGAACTGAATAAACAGCAAATCTACACTATTTATGTATTGCATATGTGCTGTTTATCAGTAAGATCTTACGAAGCTCGATGCATTCACAAATTTATCCCTCGAGCCCTGATGTAAACAACCGTTGATTCAAACAAAAATGCACTTGACAGTTCTGAAGCATACGTCTTCTGTTCTGCTTAAACAAACAGGTTAGGGTAGCTATTCCACTGGCCCAAGATGACGGCCATAATTTCTGTGCCGTGTCAATGCAGGGTCTACTATCATTTGTATGTCTATGATCAAAGGTTAGCATTAGCATTTGAATTTAGTATTGATCAAAGGGAAGCCTTAGCAGAAGGCTAAGGTAGGAGGTAAACTTGTAGCCACCTCCTTTAAATCACCTTCAGTCCTCTCGGTGATAAACCTGAATCCCCGCCTATGCGACCTAACAGGTTTAGTTCACTCTCTCCATGGCGGCTCAGGTAAATGGATCTCGGTGTGACGTGGATGTTCATGAGGTAGTAGACAATCCTGCTCTGAATGTGATCCTGGACGTGATTCACCAAGTATCTACTGCCCACGTCAAAGATCTTTATGTAGGAGTGTTTCCTGGTTAAAATTACAGAGATAAATGAGGAAAACAAAATACCGAACTAATTACATTCTTTTGATCACATAAATGTTTTGTTTAGTACCTGTCTTTCTCATCGTCTATAGATGCGTAGCTTTCTTTGTAGCACTCGATGCGCTGGATGAAGTCTGACATCGCCTCTTCTACGTCACGGTCGATGTAATCTGGGCTGCCAAATTTGACTTGCTGTAAAGATGTTGGTTTGAACATCAGCATAAAATGACCACCCTTTTCAAGTCAATTAGTTCATTTTATCTGTTCCTCACCTTGATATTCTCTGCGATTATTTCCGGGTCGTCACAGATTGATTCTACAAAGAACACCTGCGAATGAGAAGTTGTTTAAACCAATTTTACATTTCATTACATTGTGCTTAATTATATTTACAAAACTGTTTTACTGTATTTGCCTCCTTGAGGATTTCTTCTAATATTTATTCATATGTGAGATTCTTAATCCCTGTATTCATGCACACACCAACCCCAAACTAAAATCAATTTTAATCCCAAACGTGATCCCTGACCCAAAAACAGCCTCATGGGGTCGAGGCATTGCGCCTCACAAGGAGCAGTCCGTCCCCACGACATTCAATTTTTCCAGAACTTAAATTAAATTATCAAATTAAAACATTTTAAAATACATTAATATATTTTTTAGATGTGCAAGATAAATATTTATCTTTTAAGTTGAAGCTGTTTGGTTCCTTGTCTGATTGGTGACGTATTTCCAACCTGGGGCACAAAAATATCTGGTTAACACTAAAAGTTTTCCATGTGCAGTAGGTACATCCTGGGTAGCAGCTCTCCTGCACC